AAAGGGGGGGGTGCCTGGGTGGCTCAGTTGGTTGAGTGTCTGGCTTCAGCTCAGGTCATGATCTCATGGTTCGTGGGTTCGAGCTCCCCGTCAGGCTCTGGGCTGACAGCTCAGAGCCTGGAGCCTGCTTTGGATTCTGTGTCTCCCTTTCTCTCTGATCCTCTCCCACTCATGTTCTGTCTCTCTCTGCCTCTCAAAAATAAAGAAACGTAATAAAAAAAGATTTAACAGTTTGCATCACTCAAAGAAAGTATTTCTCTTTTGTGATTTATTTACGAATATTTTTATTCATAAAAATGTATTTTTTTATACATAAAATGTATTTTTATACATAAAAATGATGTAGCTCAATAAATTTGGTTTATTGTGTTTTAAATGGAATTTTAAATATTTCCTTACTTTCCACTTAGTACAGCCACACCTACTGTGCTTCTGGGGGTGGACATAGTGGCAACAAAATTCCACTGGCGAGCCTGAGGGTCCCATCTTTCCACTGTATTCAGATAGCTCCAGCCATCATGTCCTCCTACTGCATACATGGGACCTTCCAATACAGCCACACCTACACGGGGACAGGAAAGAAGCAATGACTTAAGATTTACCGCTACCTTAAAGATCACATTTTAACTGAAATATAAATACACAGTTTACTGCCTATGATTTCTTCTATGAGTTTTATGGCTCCAGGTCTTATGCTCAAGTCTTTAGTCCATTTTGAGTTTATTTTCATGTTTGCTGTAGGATAATGGCCCACTTGCATTCTTTTGTATGTGACTATACAGTTTTCCCAGCACCATTTATTGAAGACTGTCCTTTCCCCATTGTATATTCTTGGCTCCTTTGTTGCAAATTAGTTGAGCACACATGCATGGGTTTATTTCTGGTCCACTGATCTATGTGTCTATTTTTAAGCCAAATACCATTATGTCTTCATTGCTATAACTTTGTACTATAGTTTGAAATCAGGGGGCGTGATGCCTCTGCTTTGTCCTCCCTCAAGTTTGTTTTGGCTATTCTGTATTTTTGTGTGGTTCCATCCAAATTTTAGAATTATTTGTTCTATTTCTTTGAAAAATGTCATTGGAATTTTGAAAGGGATTTTATTGAATTGGTAGACTCCTTTGGGTGGTACAACGAACCTTAAACATACAAATTTAACTAAGGAAACATTTATAATAAAGGTATCTGGTTGCCACACAGCTCTTCTTGGTGGTAGGGGGGTAGGTGAGGGGGAAAAATAGCAATATAGCCCTGGTCTTGTAAGATTTTTTTTTTTTTAATGTTTATTTACTTTTGAGAGAGAGAGAGAGAGAGAAATAGAGTGAGAGAGCGAACAAGCATGAACGGGGCAGGGGTAGAGACAGAGGGACAGACTGAGAATCCCAAGCAGGCTCTGTGGTGTCAGTGTGGAGCCCAACTCTGGGCTCAAACCCACGAACTGTGTGACCTCAGCCAAAATCGAGAGTTGGACACTCAACCAACTGAGCCACCCAGGTGCTCCTGGTCTTATAAGTTTTAGAGGCAGTATCTTGAGGTCCAACAGTGGAAACTTATTTAAAACTATGTAAGATGCATACATTGCCATATTTAAAAGATTTTTTGGGGTGTCTGGGTGGCTAAGTTGGTTAAGCAACTGACTTTGGCTCAGGACATGATTTTGCAACTCATGGGTTCAAGGCCAGCATCAGACTTCAACACAGAGCTAGCTTTAGATCCTCTATCTCTCTCTCTGCCCCTCCTCTGTTCTCTCTTTCTCTCAAAAATAAATAAACATTTTTTAAAAATTTAAAAAAATAGGGACACTTGGGTGGCTCAATCAGTTAAGCATCTAACTCTTGATCTCAGCTTGGGTTATGATCTCACTGTTTGTGAGTTCAAGCCTTACATCTGGCTCTGTGCTGATGGCATGGAGCCTATTTGGGATTCTGTCTCTCCTTCTCTCTGCCCTTCACCTGCTTGTGCTCTCTCTCAAAATAAATAAATAAACTTAAATAACCTTAAAAAATAAATCCTCATTAAAAAAATTTTTAAAAACATTTATTCATTTTTGAGAGACAGAGACAGAGTGTGAGTGGGCAGAGAGAGAGGGAGACACAGAATCCAAAACAGGCTCCAGGCTCTGAGCTGTTGGCACAGAGCCTGATGTGGGGCTTGAACTCACAGACCATAAGATCATGACCTGAGCTGAAGTGCAACACTTAACCAACTGAGCTACCCAGGCACCCAATAAATCCTCCTTAGAAAAAATTTTAAAAAATAAAAGATTTTTCAATAATTCAGATTTAAGATATGTTTGAAAAATCATTTTTATTCCTTTCCCCCTATTAATTCAAATTCATGACATTTTACTGTAGTTAGAGGTGATACCACAATCATTGGTGTGATTCATCATCAGGGAACCAAGCCAGATTAATTTGTTCCCTTATTCAACAAATATCTATTTAGTGTTTATTAAGTGCCAAGCACTTAATAAAAGAACAGATAAGGGCCCTGCCATCATGGACCTAATATTTTACTGAGGAAACAGGCAAAATATATCTCAGGTATTGGTAAGTGCTAATAAGAAAAATGGAACTGAGTAAAAGGGTAGAGAGGGTCAAGGAAGACCTCTTAGATAAAATTACATCTGAACAAAAACACAAATGAAGTTAGGAAACCAGACAGAGAGACAACTGAGAGAAGAGATGGTGAGGTAAAGGGAGCAGTATGTACAAACTACACACACACACACACACACACACACACACACACACAGCTCCAAATATATATAAAATATATCCAATTATATGTGTATATGTATGTGTGCAAAGTTAACTAAAGGGCTGGAAGAAACGATAATGGGTCTAATTCAACTCCTTTAACATTATCTTTGAAAATAAATTCTAGCAGCAGAACCACTTCTTCCAAATGAAGTCTTTAGGTAATTCTCACATATAAAAGAGATAAAAGGAGTGTTTCCTATGTAAGAATTTCTTTTATAAGGTCAAATTGATTTATTATAGGATAAATTAGTAAGAACAAGGCTGTTTTGAATGAAAGATCTAAAAAAAAAAAACTTAAGACATTTGAACTATAGGATTATTCTTTTCTGAACTTGCTTCAATAAAACCTTACATGGTACCTAGAATGAACGATAGTATTCTATACACAATCTGATCTGCACAAAACACAGCTGGATCATGGGCATTCTCATTCTGTGTACTCTAAGAATCTACCTTAAGTTAAAAGTAAATTTCTTTTCTCCACGGTGGGGAAAAGTATGCATTTGAATCGCACACTATTGACCCTGGATTTTATGGTCAACTCAAGGTTATAAGTCTCATTCATGCTGCTTTTAAGATACATTCCCATTCTGTGCCTATGTAATAAGTTGATTTTATGGGCTAAAGATTAATATTTTATGGTTTCCTTAATTAAATTTCATATAGTTAATTTTTAGCTCCCCTCTCAATACAGTGCCCTTAATCCTCTGGTTTTACTGTTTTATCAAACTTGAAACTTAAGATCAACTTTAATTGAAACCTAATCACAAAAAAAAGTAGAAGCACTTATTTCTTTGATTTTTTTGTTGTCCAACTATCACACCAATCTTCATGCCTAGATAATTTATATTACTGATACTGGCTTTTTTTGGCAGCCTCTGCTCTGGTGCTCAGCATTAATAAATTGAATGTAGTACAAAGCTATGCTATCTAAACTGAATGATGCCTTCATTGCTGCTCATCCATCTTTTAATTCATCTTTTATGATGACCTATCAAATTCTTTATTGCAATTAATTTAAACCTTTTCCAAACTGTGATACATTGACAATATAGCCACAAATTTGTCTTACCGCTGAATGCATGCCTATTTTCTTTTTTTTTTTAAATTTTTTTTAAATTTTTTATTTTTTTTTTAATTTTTTTTTCAACATTTATTTATTTTTGGGACAGAGAGAGACAGAGCATGAACGGGGGAGGGGCAGAGAGAGAGGGAGACACAGAATCGGAAACAGGCTCCAGGCTCTGAGCCATCAGCCCAGAGCCTGACGCGGGGCTCGAACTCACGGACCGCGAGATCGTGACCTGGCTGAAGTCGGATGCTTAACCGACTGCGCCACCCAGGCGCCCCTGCATGCCTATTTTCAATGTGACACTGTAGCGCCTCCCATAAAGAACAGTGTCCATCAATAAATGAATAGATGAATGGTACACACACACACACACACACACAGCCATAAAAATGATGAGGTCATCCCATATGAGACATGCATGGACCTAGAGGGTATTATGCTAAGTGAAATAAGTGAGACTCAGAAAGGCAAATCTAAGAAATGAATAAACAAAAAAAGAGCAGCATCAGAATTATAAATACAGGGGTGCCTGGGTGGCTCACTCAGTTAAGTGTCCGACATCTTATGGTTCATGAGTTCAACCCCGCGTTGGGTTCTGTGCTGATGGCTCAGAGCCTGGAGCCCACTTTGAATTCTGTGTTTCCCTCTCTCTGTCCCTCCCCTGCTCACACTGTCTCTCTCTCTCTCAAAAATAAATAAACATTAAAATTTTTTTAAAAAAGAACTATAAATACAGAGAATGAACTGATAGTTGCCAGAGGGGAGGGAAATGGAGGGCTGGGCAAAATGGGTGGAGAGGGAAATATAGGCCTCCAGTTATTGAATGAGTAAGTCATGGGAATAAAAGGCAGAGCATAAGGAATATAGTCAATGGTACTGAGATAGGGATGTATAACAGGACAGATAGTAGCTATACTTATGGTGAACACAGCAGAATGTATAAACTTGTCAAATCATTAAGCTGTATACCTGAAGCCAATGTGACATGGTGTGTCAACTAGACTCAAATAAATATTAATATAAATACATACATACATATATAAATAAGAAGAGTAGTCTTGATCTCTACTCTTTGGATCTGGGCTTGCCCATGTGACTTGTTTTGGCCAGTGCAACATTAGCAAGTACAATGCTAGCAGAAGCTTGAAAATTCTTTGTGCACTGTGGCTTGCCTTCTCTTGCTGCTTTTGAAACCCTGTGACTGGCACCATGTGAAGAAGCCTGGCTAGCCTGGTGAATGATTACAGGCATGTGGCCCAGTTGTCTCTACCTCAACAATCTACCTACCATTACACATGTAAATGAGGCTATCCTAGATCATCTAGCTGACCTGTGAGCCCACCAGAGATCCATAAAAAAATCTAGCAGAAATCATCTAAGGCAGGCATGCCAGACCAGAAAAATACCTCAGCTGACCCACAGTTCCAACAGCTAAATATATGGTTGTTGTTTTAAACCTTTGACCTTTCGAGTTATGCAGCAAAAGCTGGGTGATACAGATTCATTTCAAGCCCCATCTAATTTTATGTCCATTTGCTTCACTCATCTAACAATTCTTTTTATTTCATCAATTCTGTCTCCTATCAGAAAAGATAGATCATCTGATATAAGGCCCTAAGTTATCTTCTATCAGCTCAGAGTGAGCCATCAGTTCCTTCAGAGTACAGATAGTGTCTTCTTCATCTTTGTACACCTACAGAACAAAGAGCATGATGGCACATAGTACATGCTAATCAATGTCAGTTTAGTGTTTTATTGAATGAAAGAATGAAAAGTCTCTATCATTATATTCTCTGTGCCAGCTCAAGATTTCTTTGGGTTTTTACTCATTTCTGCTTAAAAAACAGGGGATATAGATGAAAAACAATAATGCTAAATATTTTTAAATAAACATTTCAATCAGGTTAGATTAACACTGAGTGACAGAACACACATTTTAAAACGTGTTACACTAGAATCCTTAAATATCCATGTTTTTACTTGTGCTAGTTGCTGTTACATTCATGTATATTCTACTTTCCAGTTAAAGAGCATGTGAAGGAATGCTTGGTGACTGATTGCTGCTGACTCAGCAGCTGCCACATTGGTTTTCTTCTGCCTGGTACAGAATGTAAAAATGCTGTGGAAGCTTAATGATGACATCATGAATGAACATGCATGGTTATACTCACCAAGGCCATGCCTGTGGGTGGACATAGGAGGCATCACACTCCAGGTTTTTGTTTTGGGGTTGTAGCATTCTACAGTGTTCAAAGTCTTCAGTCCATCTCTTCCTCCAACCACATACAGTTTGTCATCTAACACTGCAACACCAAACTGCAGCCTCCTCCCATTCATATTTGCTACAGGAGTCCACATATTTGTACGAAGATCATACTTTTCAATGCTTGTTGCTCCTTCACAGTAATATATAGATGTTACATAAAAGAATTTCACACTTGAGTACTTTATCATTTTATACACATAAAAGTATAATTTATTAGCATTGACAATAATACTTTTATTATATTTCATTGAGCTCCTGAATGGTCAGGCCCCTGCTTATGTCTCTGACCTCATCTCCTACTATTCTCCAGAGCATACACAAGGCTCTACATTAAAAGGTCAAGTGAGAAAGGATTACTTGTAACAGCTAGAAGTGGCAGGAAAAGCAGGGAAGTTTAGTGTCATGGAACCCAAAATAAAAAAAATTGTAGCAGGTAGTTTTGAAGGAAGATGGTGGCAGAATAGGACAACCCTAGACTTGCCTCATCTCATGAATACAACTAGATAACTATCAGATACTCAATACAAGAGAAATCGGTACAAAGACTGGCAGAACAAACTCCACATCTAAGGGTAGGAAAAAGGCCACATCAAAGATGGTAGGAAATATGGAGACATGACTTGGGAGAGAAATGGATCATGGTCAATGCAGTGAGGAGGGAGTCATGGTATTAGAGAAGGGTGAGAGACAAACCAGCACACAGGGAACTGCATGGGGAAAATAAATCCCCTTAGCAACTGGGCTTGGAAAATGAGAGGGCATGAATTTCATGAGTTCTTGCAACCAGTGGGGCTTAGAACCTGGGGTTTTAAAAGTCAGCATGCTTGGCTCTTGGAGACGTTGAAGCACATTGGGGCTGCTCTTAGAGAAAAGCATATCTGCAAGCTGACATACAGCACAGAAACAGCGATCTGAAGAGCACCTGGAGACACAGTGGAGAGGTTAGTTGCTTATATCGGAGTGTGTCCCGGGGAGGCAGCATTCATGGAGACACCTCTCTAGTAACAAAGAAACTGGCAGGTGCCATTTCTCTCTCCCCATCCCTCATCATAAGCACAGGGCCACCTGCAGGAACCAGCACAATGCCAACACTCACCACCTACCTTGCTTACATCCAGCCCAGCACCCCCCAAACTCCAGTGGAACTGCCCTTCCCAGTCACACTTGCCTTCGTCCCAGCACAGGGGACCCCTTTCTCCAGAAGACCAGCCCAAACTCCTGCCAACTCTGCATCTGCTGACTGAGGAGTTTTGTGAGGCCTTAATTCCAGTGGTGGTGGTGACAGGTCTCTTTTCACAAGCAAACCAGAGCACATCTAGTTAAAATGCACTACATTCAGGCCAGGGACCAAACACTGCCCATAACAAGCAAAGAGAGTCTCTGCAGACAATTGGTATGAAGGATAAAGTGGCCAGGACACAGCAACAAAAGCACACGCAGCACACACTGGACACACTCCTGGAAGTACCAGGCCCTGGGGAACAGGAGATACTACACTGCAGGGTACTATAACGCCTCTTCTTTATAAAGCCATTACTCTCAAGAACAGGAGACATAGCTGACTTTCCAGAGAAATAGGCACAGAGACTTAGACAAATGAGAAAACAGAGCACAAAGTTTGGCTATAAAAGGGAGGAGAGAGAGAGGAATTACTAGATCAGTTGAGAGAGGTTTTATTTTGTTTTTAAAGCTGGATAAACTTGAGTTTGCTTAAATGCTCATGGGAAGGATCTACTTGTGAGGAAAGAAGCTGTAAATACAGGAGAGAAGGGATCCTACTTAACAGTGAGGTTCCTGAGGAAGCAAGAAAGGGCAATGTCAGAGCACAGATGTGGGGCTGGCTTTCCTAAGAGGAGGGAAGGGATATACATTCTCCTGCGACCTGGAAGGACAAGAGCCTAAGTGAACATCATGGATTTTGGAAACTATCAGTGTGAGAAGTCTGGGGATAACTGCCTGGTCCTGTCTCTCTCTCTCTCTCTCTCTCTCTATGTATATGTATATGTACATATATATGTATGTGTATACATGTATATGTATATGTACATATATATGTATGTATATGTGTATATATATGTGTGTGTGTGTATATATATATATATA